CAAAAAAAAAAAAAAAAAAAAATGACACGTGGACTCAACTAGAAGATTACACGTCAAGTAGTTGACTTTCGAGAATGTGTTTGACAAAGAGCCGAGACACCAAGCTAGCACTCTCCACAAGTCCAACCATAACAAACAAATAATCATTAACTTAACAATTATCCACCAATAAAAAATATGATATATACACAAAATCTCAAATTACGAAGATTGTATATTTGCAACAATAATAAAAATTAAAAGCACCTCCTTTATCTCAGCCCTAATTGTGCATGTGGGGCCCAGTCTCCCGTGCCCATCCACACCAAACGACGTTGACAAATTTACCACAATACCCCCACACACAACCCATTCCCCATCCTATAAAAAACCACACAAAATCCACATCAAAGCTGCACAAACCATACAATCCAATATCCTCTCCCAATCTTGTTTCTTCTACACACACTNAGAGAAAAAAAAAAAAATGGCTTCTCAAGCCAAGATTCCTCATTTCCCCCTCTTCCTTTGCCTCCTCCTAACACTAGCAATAACCTCACAAGCCACAACACAAATCAAAAACTTCAACAAAGTCTCTAGAGAAAACTTCAACAAGCAAGCCTCCGAGCAAGCAACCTTGCCGAAAGACACCACCACCACCACAACCACCACCGCCACACCACTAGACTCGAACGAGCCTGAATACGGCCTCTATAGCCAGAAACGCTCTGATCCAGAGGCCAACAGCAATGACGAATTCTATGGCGATAGGCAGTTTGAGGTGGACAACAGTCGGTTTCCCACACGTTCTGACGATAACGCCCTCCGCAAAATGCAGTACGATCAGTGGAACCAACACCAGCTTGAGAAGCAGCAGCAGAAGCTCAAGGCCCAGTCTCAGGACTCTGCCGAGGGACAGGTGTACAAAAGAACTTCCTATAAAACGACACCTGACAGTTTGAACCGAAACGACCAACAGGAGTACGAAGAAGAAGAAGAAGACGACGACAACAACAACAACAACAATGCGTATGATAATGAAAAGTTTGACGACATTGCCCTCCGCGACTGGCAGTTCGCACAGTGGAACAAATACCAGCTTGAGAAGCGGCAGCAGAAGCTCAATGCCCAGTCTCAGGACTCCGAGAGACAGGCATACAGAAGAACTTCCTTTAAAACGACACCTGACAGCTGGAACTGGAACAACGACCAACAGGACTCCGAATCCAGCAATGCTGAGAAGCAAGCAACCACAGACGACAGAAGGTGGGGCAACAATAACTATAAGTACGGGTACCGAGCAGAAGAATACGACCAAAAGAACCATCTCACAGACAGCAACATCAACAGTTATGAGCAGCAACAGCAGCCGTGGAAGTACGAAAATGTCAACACCAAGCAGAAGAAGGGACTTTCGAAGGAGGAAAGGTCGGCCATGGCACAAGGGATGAGCGACACGAGGAGGCTCAGGGGAGGAAAGTACTATTACGATATCGAGAACGATAAGTACGGTGAAGACCATCCCTTTACCAAACTCAACAGCTTCAACGCAAATGAAGAAGAGCCTTGAGGTTTGAAACGGGGGCTAAGTAAAGGGTTTTTAAATTTTCAAAAATAGATATATAGAAAAAGAGTTTATTTATTTATATATGTGCGTGCGTGCTGCCTTTTGTGTGTGCGTGTCCATCTGTCTGTGTTTTGCCCCCTGTTATGTTTCATGGTTGGAGAAAATGAAAATGAATTGTAATGAATTTTAGTTCGTTACAGTTGCACTTGTGTGATGAATTACATACAAATGTGGAATAAATTAATTCTGCCTTCTTGTTTATGTTATACAAATATGCGTGAATTTACTATAAAATATCATGTTATGAGGAAAAAAAAACATAAATAAATTTTACGACATTTAAAAGTTTAAGCATGCATTAATTTATGCCAAATATAACAACCAATCTGCCTAATGAATTGGTCATCTCACAGCAAAATTATGTACATACATTTATTATAAAATGTCATATTTTCAAAAACAGCATAAATATATATACTTTTTGTGATGCTTGGATTATGATTATGTTGACTGGTGTGCTTATACTTAATTATGATGATCCCCAAACATTAAAGGATAGTCATGACCCTACCACAAACTTCTGTAATGATTTGATTGTTAATTTAACTAATAAAGTAAATCTCAACACAGAGTTGAAGGACTTTTAGAGCAATTTGTGCTTTCTTGGGACCAATTTGTAGTTGAGTGTTTATTGAAATTATGTCACATGGGACCAATTTGGCACTTTTTAATGGAGATCGATGAAAAAGGGATGCATGTTTCAAAATGTTTGGTCTCACTCTAGCATTAATATTTGTTTCCACTCA